CCTTTTGGTCTATGTGTGTTTTTGGTTTTCATGAAATTTCCATAACTGTGATGTCATTCTAGAAGAAAGTCCCAATGTTATACATTGGTTTGTACACAAAAAAGTGCTGCAAGTTTTGAAGATTTTATAGTAATAATCAAGCATCAATCCCTTTCTCAATTGTTTTCAGTAGGTACATTCTTGGTTTATGATTGAACAGAAAAACCTATAAATCGTAGTATGTCTTCCCTGGGTGACGCCCTCAACAGTGCCCTTGGTTGTCCAGGAAAGCATGGCTACCCCATAATTTTAAGTTAAAAAAGTGCACTTTTCAATGCATTTAACCACATTGCAATGTAACTAAGGGTTTTCATACATTGAAGCACAGTGCAAAGTTGCAGAATAATTATGTCTAAGAAAAATTTGTTGCAGCTACAAATTTAAATGTCAAATGGTCCAGGGTTGGACCTGGGTTTACATTTAACCTTTGAGATTGTTATAATGAGATTATATATGAGGTGATTTCTACGTACATTCCTGTTCATTTATTGTTAGGTGAAAGAGGAATACTTCCTTCACTTTAATGGTTACATATGCATATACATGTACATGTATATATACATGTATGTATGTTTACTCTAAAACTCATGAATGTCCTTTACAAAAAACAGTTCTGTGCATGTATGTTCAGTTGATCAGTCACTAACGCAACTAGCAGTTTTAATGATGAAAGCAGTTTTCTGCCCTTCTACCCCCAGACTTCCTTCAGACTTGATTTTTTTCCCCTGATTTTTATCTGCCAGAAACACCTTTTGTTTTCTTGCGTCTTGGCTTCCTGCCATGGCAGTTTCCACCTTAATTACGCCCGCTCTTATTGGCTAGTTCCGTCTGATGAAAATGTGATTATCAAAGAAATTGGCACCCGATGGATTGTGGATATCCTTTGTTATGAAATAATTCTATTTTTGATTTCCTGTGTGGAAGGCGCTTCTAACTTGTTTTGATGTAATAAATTGTCCAGACTGATTTTTTGACACAAGCATTTCAAAAGACTTTGCTGTCTTCCACATACATGTACATGTAAATGAACTTTTGTACTGTGTGGATTAGTTACAAACAATGTTATGTATCCGTATGTTTGTTGTGACATCTTTTTATGAATGTGAACAACAGTGACATACCGGTACATAATATTTATTCAATTACTGGTGTCTGCAGCATACATGCATGTACATGTACATATAATGTATGAACATAACAGGTCTCCATTACATTAAGGGGCCTGTTTCTTTTGTAAAAGAAGTCAGGACCGACTTGTAATGACCAAAAAATTGTTCTTAGAACCAGTGCTGTTGACGTCAGTTGCTGACTCTGACTTCAGTGGGACTTTTTGACCTGAGAGAGCACTTGACTTGGATAAAATAAGACTTAGGACTTGACTTGGAAGAACATGACTTGCAACTAGATTAAATTTAGCTTTGTGGTATATTTTTATTGAAAATAATAAATATACTTTTGGGTGTCCACACATAATTGGTTAAAAAGAAGCCCTTTTAATGTACATGCACATGTAAGCTAGGGAGCGTACAAAAGCAAGCTGCCTTTTTCTCCATGCAGTGTGCAGTCAGGCCCACCCAGGTGGGTCGCAAACTGCGATCATGAGGCGTGTGTTTTCTCAGAAGTTGTGTTATTCGTTCATCAGCGCAGCAATTATTTATACGCCATACTTGTACATGATCTGAAAGTATAACAGAAGAAATTTCTTTAAAGGGCTGGAAAAGAACTACACTGTACATGTACTACCCCCATACTATAATCAACACCAGACTTGTGAAAACTTGACTTGACTTTAAAAAATGACTTGGTTGGTACCGAAGTGTGATGTCACTGTGAACCAGATAGTGTAAGCTAATGGGGTACATGTACAGTATGTTTGTTGGTTCACACACTGGTTCTTACATCATGTACTAGTACATGTAATGCCTTTTACACACAGGACTGTATGTGTGACACATTCACTTCGGTACTCTAGCTGTAACAATTTTGGTCCCATGCATAATGTGTGTTGCCCCTTCATAACCTGATCACCTGTACAGTGTACATGTACAGTGTACTGTACGTGTGTATATATGTACACACCTAGTTTGTGTGTACAGATTCATGCATACAACATACATGTACCTATCATGAGCAGACACAAGGTCTTGAGCTGTTCGATGTGTTTGTACTCAATGCAATCTTGCTGTCAGCTCCAAGACCTGGCCGAGGTGATTGCCCTCAGAAATAACGAAGTGACTGTTCATCCATAAATTAATTGGCCCTGACTACATACATGTATTAATTACAGGTAGTATGTTCACAATTTGGCATTTGTGCTAATAGACATGGTCTGTTGAGACAAATTAACTTTTGATCAGGTGGGGATTGCATATGCATGCTGTACATGCAGTTCTTTTCACTGTCACAGCACACTGTGATGTAGGTTGATTGTTCTTGCAGTCAGTCCTCTTGAGACCAGACAGGTCATATGGTGTACATTATTATGTTCTCTTGAGTTTATTACTACTATCTCATTCGTGTAGTTTGGATCCAGCCTCTGCAATGACAAAATTAATCATGAAGACATGTTTATGACACTCTACCCTTCCACAACAATTAATGTACAACACACTCTACATTTTCAGCATATTACCTCAAATCCCCATGATGCCATTAGTGCAGCAAAGGTATTACTTCAGTTCCTTGTAGTTGTGGGTGTATTTTCCTCAGTACATGTGCATGTACATGTAGGTCACTGTTTATGTCATTGCCCTCAAGAACTTTTACGAGCTTGATTGGTTTTCTTAATTTTACCCTTAATTCATGCAACCCTTGCTACATATACATCCATATTCACGGCCATTTTTCTGTGAAATTATTAAGTACAGATACATATAAAACACAAGTTATTTGTTTTTGCCTCTTGAAACTGAGCACTCGATAATAATGGAAAACAGAGCCAGACCAATTTTATTTGAAATTTTGCCACATGTTCCATACCTCCATTGACATTGCAGTAGTTTATACAGAGTTTATAAGATCAAATTGATATTTCTTCATGTCAACATGTATGTAGAAAAAACTATCAGTACTGGCAGGATCGTAGTCACTCATATCCGTTACATTTACTTGCGGGGGTCACTCATGTCCATTACATTTACTTGCGGGGGTCACTCATGTCCATTACATTTACTTGCGGGGGTCACTCATGTCCATTACATTTACTTGGGGGGGGGTTAATCATGTCCATTACTTTTACTTGCTGGAAATATTGCAAATGAAATGTAATACTGGGGCATCACATTATCATTCATGTCATGTACATTCATTCGTACATGCTCATGTACAAGTACATGTATATCTGATCATCTTGCTGGTAGAGGGACATATGAGCATATTTTGTTTTGTTTGCACGACTCCTAATGCAACAGATGGCCTAATTGCACCTATGTGCTGAGTAGCAGACAATATCATGTATCAGCATTGCATCAAGAAGACATTTTTAACTGCATCTTTCTTAGGTCTCAGCGATAAAGATGCAAGACAACTTTAAACTGACCGTTATTTATGAATGATCTAAAAGAAACTATTTTATCAATTTTCTAGTTTTCCTGACCTTCAAATACCATCAACTTTTAAGGGAATTAATGAAGATGATTGTATTAAAAATAACAATAAAGCAGAAGTAGATATTTGTCTGTTCTCAGGCATCGTGTTTCATGTTGACTTGTTAAGTAGTGATCAGCTGTGTTTTATTGGGGGCTCTGGACTATGAATCAGATGTACCCAAATCACCCAGTGTTTGTTGGTATTTGTTAGCACACAGTAAATAGATGCCAGAAAATCATATGAAGATGGAGGCAGAAAAGAATTATTTGGAAATCTTTTGAATCAAATACATGCACTCATCACGTTCTCATGCCTGAAATGAACAGCAGACTGGAATGAACTTGATTTGCAATGTAATCTTAAAAAGCCTTCTTAGATTAATTTTGGCAGATAAAGTGTAAATTGTGGCCATACCAATTTACTGCACGTGTCATATTAAAGTGAAGTTCATACATACTGTACATGTACATGTGAAGGCATATAGTGTACATGTGAGAGGTTCATGCGTGGAGCCAAATAAAAAAGCTTTAAAAAATTGTCATTTTTTTGACTCAACATTTATTTCCGTTTTGCAATCAAGTTATACACAAGGTCAATAAATGAAAGATTTATGACTACAAGAGTGAAAGTTAAATAAGACCATGAGACACTGAAATAAAAGGAGGCAAATACAGAGGCATATTCAGAAGACTAAGTCTTCTACAGAAATGCCTTATTAAGACAATAAAAAGGTCCTCCTTTCATCAGGAAAACTGTTGGCTGCTTACTTGTTTTTAAGTGTGCAGTCCATTATTTGCAGTTATTCAAAAAATACTGACAAAATTATCGTCGAAAAGCATACTTGGTTAAAATATGGTTATTGGACTAAACTCCCTGTGAAGACAATCTTTTTGGCAAGCTATCATTTTGAAGAAAATAATGGAAGAAGGCTGCTTCCAATGATGCGTCTAAAGATGCATTTTTTGAAAACTGCTATTAGAAGCATACTCAAACATTGCCACAACACATGCATGCAGAAGTGATTACTATAATTCGTTGGCTCAGTGCGTGACGTCATTCAACTGAGTGTGAGAACGTGTCCCAGATGTCGAATTCAGGCGCAGTTCAAATTGTCAATACATGACTGAGCAACTTTTGATCTGAAATCAGAATCCTAGAATATTGTTTTTGTTGGAATATACATACCCCGGTACATTTGCTGAACCAGTTGAAACTCATCAGGTTTGCTCTTAGGTTGCATTCTTTAGATTTGGAGTAATTGTGTTGCCTCAAGAAACATAATACACAAATGACAAAAGATAAACTGTACCTTAAATATACATGTGAGATGCTAGCAACACATTAAAATTCAACAATTTTCATCTTTGTTACAGCTTTATGAATTGTCTGATGATCGAAAGAGGAAGGAATTTCTGAATGAGCTGTTCTCATTCATGCAGAAAAGAGGTAAGAAGGCGCCATCATATTGTCATTGTTGGTGCTGTACTTTTTGTTGCTGGATTAGACATTGTAATACATGTATATCTTGAAAATTTACACATGTGGTTAGATTTGTTTCATTTCATTTGTTCATGACGGTATTGCACATGTACATGACAGTATTGTATGTATGATGTACATGTGGTATTGTCATAGTGTAAATCGTCAGGTGCCTGGCAGAAGGGCATAAGCGCACTTACGCCCTTTCGCCGGGAAGCATGATCACAGCAGAAAAAATGTTCCCGGATATAATTTACTAGGAAATCAACCTGGGCTGTACAAAAAACAACCTTTGAACAACTTATTAAAGGACTTTGGAATTTGTTTTTACTTTTTGCCAAGAATTCTTCATATATCATACATATGTTGCATACTTTTGTCCTTTTGTCACAAGAAGTTTTTAGGCAGTGGTCATGCTTCCTGGCAAAAGGGCCTAAGTGCTAAGTGCTGCCTGGCACATGACGAAATGTTCATGTACTGGTACCATTTGACATTTAATGTTGAGGGGAGATTTGCAAGGCCAAGTTTCTGTGAGAGAGAGAGGCTGTCTGATGGGTTTTGTGTCAGAATATATGCATACTTCTGAGTGTCATTTGCAATGCAAGCTTTCTTTGCTTGAACAAGTATTGTGCGTTCTCTACTGCCTGCCAATTGATTCTAGTCATAGAAAAATTTTTTTCCCTTAAGATTAGACACAGTATGTAAATATCCCATCATCAGCAGATGTAATTACTACTGAAAAACTTTTCCAATTTAATTTAGTCTGTATAGTCAAAGATGATGGTACATGTACATGTACATATAGATGGTCAAAGTACCAGAAGTTTGAAAGCTTTCATCAACTGATTAATATAATTTTAATGGACATAAATTGTTGTCAGTAATACTCCAGCATACCAGTTTAATTTGCATGTGTACAAGATGCATCACTCTTACTCATAACTAAATTTATTTAATAATAAAAGTTAACTAATTTGGTACTTTCTTGGTTTAGACCACAAACAGAGTTATGGTGTAGGAGAGATGCTGTACATGCATGTAGCTGCATCATATCTGAACTTGTCCAGATTTACCTTTAAAAATAATTGCCTTGGCCCTTCAGACCACAAGGCCTGTTTCTTGAAGTTGTGAAAGTGAAAGTATTGCTTATCCTTTATAAATGTGTGTAATATAAAAAGAATCAACACAGAACCAGTCAAATGAAATGCATACAGTGTAGGTGTAGTATAACAGTGACATTAAGGGGCGTGTGAGCTACGTACATGTCTACATGTAATTGAACTCAAGCAACAAGCACAGTGTGGTCCAGTGGCAGGTCCAGCATTGACTAAAAAGGTGGGTGCCCCAAATGGAGTTGAACCCAAACCAGGAATTGCATCAAAATAGGGGTAGTTTTCGTCATTAAATTTATTTAATAACTAGTTGGCCGCAAAAGAAAAAAATGGTAATGGAAAAAGTACTGGTTCTCTTGTAAAATTAAATGGGAGAGGGCTGCTACGCTGAGTGTAACCCCCCTCTGGATCTGCTACTGTGCTGGTCAAAATGTTTTAATCCACAGGTTGTCGTATCTTCATCAGCAACTGACTATATCACTACAGTCTTATTAATTAAATAGGTTTTTCTGCCTATACTTTTTCCAAGCATTTTTAAATGATAGTTTGTTGATATTTCATATATATAGTCTCTAATTTTAAAGGCCAGACATAACATGTTCTGGTCAATCACTGATGAAATCTAAATCTAATCTAAATATTTGATTGGCATTCAAGGCCACTCTGCTTCTGACTTTTGTTATGAGAACAATTTACTGGTAGCTCAGTAAACCAGATCTGTTCCTTCACTTGCTTCATCATGAGCAGGAACCAGTCCATGTACTGTCTGTGCCATTCAGAAATGTGACCTGTCATCACAAAATGAGCTGAAAGTCTGAATTTTCAAAAATTGAGATATTGGTATTTTTAAATCAACAGAAAGAGAGCTTTTCAGTGGTATGTACATGGAACATGTTCATAGGGTAAAAGTATGAGGTGACAAGGTGGCATTATTCTGGCATCTTTACGTTTTTATATCTAACATTGTTTCAACATTTCTGACCAGGCTCAAATAATGCTGTCATTGAAATTGCTGAGAAAATGATATTTTTAAAAATCTGATCATGCTAACAAAACTGGAATTAAATATAGGGGTTAATCTTTCAAAATATTACAAGATGCCAAATTGACCTCCACTTCAATATTTGACTGTGAACCCTTGAAACAGGAAAGAACAGAATGTGACTTTAAGCTCATTTTGTCGTGCCAGATCACAGATATTTGTACTCAGCTACTCTGTGAAATGAAACCTGGGGCCATCCACTGTTTTGGGAAGAAATTAGACGGAGTACACATATTTTACATTTTCTAGGGAGTATGAAATTCAGTGATATACATTCCTCAAGTGGCTTTATTCCAGTTGTAATCAGTAACTGATGTAATTCTCAAACTTACTTGTACTTGGAGTAAAGTGGCCATTGAATTGTGTAGTTTAATGTTTAATGGTTTCACCCAACTATGTTGACCCTCCTCAGCAGTAGTGAAACTGTCAACAATTGCTTGATTATTATTGCCAAAGATATTTTTGTCTTGACATACCGGTACTTGTACTTATTGAATATGAAGCAGGTGTTACAGGAATTGAGAATGTCAGCCTATAAACTATTCAATGTTACATGACAGAAAGGGAAGAGACCTGCATACAATGTAGATGTACTTTGTACAATGTACGGTACTTCTATCTGTGGATTGATTTTTAGTATTAATCCTCTTGTGAGTGAGCGCTGTTTTATTGACTGCATGTACAATGTAATGCTGCACTCCTCCGGGGTAGAACAAGGGAAGAAATAATGAAGGGATAGCAGAATTATGGGGGGGGGGAGTATGTATTATTATTGGGTATGGATTAACTTATTAATCTGACTTTGGCACATTGCCAGACAGTTTGTTTGGGTAACACCTGCAGTCTGAGGTTAAACAATGTGCTAATTTCATTAATGGAATTGTGACCAGACTGCACAATTTGGCGTTTATGTTGGTAACAAATTCCTGTCACTAAGGCACAGATTGGCAAAATGCAGAGATTTTTTTGATTTGTTGATGAAGAACACCTGGAAAACCATTAAAACGTACTCCCTGATACTGGATTGATCCAGGTTTTATCAGTTTAGAATCTTTAACCTGCAGATGCCATCATTAAAACGTACCTCAGCAAAAGTGTTTACAGTAGCATCCTGACAACAAACAGACATTTTGGCATTTACTCAAGTACTTTTATAACCATTAAATATACAAAGTGAGCTCTTTCATGTGGTGCATCTCTGTCTTTTTCATGTATCTATACATGTATTCATTCACAAAAAGTATTTTTATACATGTACATGTAGGTCAGTAGGTAGAAACCTGTCTTGATACCTTGTTGCTAATTAGCAGCCAACACATGTACCAGTACATGTACATGTAAGGTAATGCTTTACGTACAAAGTTTGTCCCTTTTGTTACTGGCACATCTCTGTGTTAAATGTAGCGATACCTCCATTTGAGTGTGCAAAGCCTACCGGTACATGTACATCAAGCAGTAACCAATCCATTTTTTTTGTCTCAGTCCTTAGTTAGAGCCGCTGAAAGTGAGAGGGTAAGGAATCATTAGAAAGAAAAAAATCCATCAGCAGGTTATTTTGGAATAATATCATGTGCAGTCTGGCAATGGGTGAACATAAAGGCCTGGCTGATTATCTGGCATACATGTATACTGTGGTAAGAAACACATCAATAAGAGAGGATCAGAGCTCATTAACGACAATCTATAATTGAAGATAGGCTGAGAAAGGACGGATAGGAATTGATAGAGCAAAGCTACAGACTCACAGTACATTGGCCTTTCATTTTGGAGGTCTGTCCTGGAAAGGATACATTATAAATAGCCTGCCCATTGCTAATCTAGCTAGATGATTGGGTGATATTGAATAATTCTGTGTATTTTATTTTTTTTTGTGGATGGTATCTTCCAGTCCATTGCTGTGACATGCTTCGGAATCAAAAGGCTTCTTGAAGATTCACCAGAAGCACTTAGAAAACCCACTTACTTACATTTTTATTCATAAAGCAGAGAACACTTTGAAATGCCTTCAAAAATGCTTTCTACTGATAATGGTTAGACTTTTTCTGAACTTCCTAAATAACATAACCCCTCACAAAACAAAAATAAAAATATTGTGTTTGAAAAGAAAATTCTCCAGGTGGCAAATATTACCCGGTATATAATACAATTCTTGTGTAAGTAATAGTGTCACATTTTATATGTACATTGCCTAATGCACAAATTCAGGTAAAAATTCAATAGCATTATCACCTTCGTTTCCTGCACATTCTAGAAGTAGTTGCAAAGTACCCAATTTTAAAATTAATGAAACACTTTTGTTGTCCCCTGTTTGAGTTCATGGGTGAAGTGTCAAAAGAAGGGGAAGATTGAATATTTTCAAATAAGATCTTTGAAATATTTTGGAGGTCCGATTATGTTTTTTTTTCTTCTTGAAGTCCATTCACAATGGCTACTTCAGCTGACTTAGCCTGAGATTTCTGCATGTGTTTGACAGACCACATCTTCCATTATTCACATCAACGTAACGAACAGTAAACTCCCTGGAATAACATCCCAATCCCCACTCCATTTGTATCAGTTCTCATGTGACACCCCCTCCCTCAGAAAAGTTGAGGGCATTCCAAAAGGCTCTGTTTGACTGCTGCTTAGTATGTTGGCTTTTATTTAGAAATTGTGCCTTCCTGAAAAAGTGTTAGCGGTTTTGATGAGAACAGGTTCTGACGACCACCTGCCTCATTCAGCTTCCACAAACTCTTCTCTTCAGGGTGGTCACTGTCTCCTGCTGTATAAATTTGTGCTGGTCAATTGCTGAGCAACCAAACCCACTCAAGATT